GTAACAACTGATTGGTGGGAAATTATGAAAGGAAAAGTTGAATGTGGAAAAAAAAAAGGAATAAAGTTGGGAACTTTCAATACCTCTTTTCCACTCCTTACACTCCATGCATAGACACTGCCATCTCCCGAACCTGTCACATGCGCAAACACCAAAAAGGTTAAGAGTGCAAAAGTGAAAACAGTACTAAACTCTTCATTGAATTCGTTTTTATGCCCCTCCCCTTCCTCCAATATGAATAAGTCACTATTGGCCTTGTACTTTGATATATAATCACTAAATTGAAGATGGATGAGACTTCATGTGAGATATCGCCACACAGTTTAGTAATATACTTCACAAAAGTGCAACAAGGGCGGATTACATTACTTGGCCAGCCTTTCAAGAGGGCTACAAGGACGTTCTCAACAGCGAAAAATCTGATAAACCCCCAAAAGAGAACAACTAAAACATAAAAAGGCCAACACAAGGCTAACTGTACAAAATGGATAAAAATGGCTACAAGACATATTTGATGTATTTCCCTTAGAACCCCTCCTCCCTGTGGGGTCTTGAACACCATGTCCTCAAGGTGTAGTTCGGGAAATCTCATGCTAGTCGTCCGACAACTCCCATAATGATTCATGCATTGGTAGGTTCTTCCATTCAACCAGCAGACGAGTACATCTTGAGGTTCTAGCACCCATTCAAACTTGTCCAACAGTATAGGATCCTCGGTTGGACCAGATGTGTCTCCTCCACGACCTTTTTGAGTCGAGATATGCAAAATACTTGATGAATTGTGGCTTGTAGGGGTAGCTCGAGCTTGTAGACCCTTTGCCAGTCCGGCTAATGACTCAATAGAGACCAAAATACTTAGGGGATAGTCTCTCAATAAGGCGTCATACCATCAACTATTGTCCGTACAACCTAAGCTTCAAATAGACCCAATCTCCCTCGACAAATTTTATTTTGGTCCTTCATTGACTTGCAATTTTTTTCATTCAATCTTGGGCCATAACCAGATGGTTTCAGCCTCGTAAGGGCCACATCTCTCTTAGTCAACTGTTGATCCAAGGTAACATTGTTGGGTATTTTAGACCCAAAAAACATCACGGGAGGAGGTGATCTGCCATAGACGGCTTGAAAAAATGTGGTGTTAATGGAGGCGTGGAAGGTCATATTGTACTAGAATTCTACCCATGCCAACCAATTCACCCATTATTTGGGTTTTTTCATGGCAAAAACAACGTAGATATGTCTCCAAGCACTTATTGACAAACTCGATTTAAAGCTCACCACAACAACTATTAGTTACTCTGATTCTGTTAGGCGATAAATTTTGACTTGCCTTTATGCTTGGAACAACCATATGTCTAGATCTATTCTTGAAAAAACATGCATTTCGAGTTTTTAAAATTGGCTCTAATCATTGGTTAAGACTTTTGGGTCCCTTATTGCACCGTTTTTCGCTCTAGTCTCCCTTGGAGTTCTTATTTTTCTAGGAAGAGGCTCCCTCTAGCGAGCATTCTAGCTCGCCTCCTCAATTCTATGATACTTTTGTAACCAAAAGGGCAATCACCTTTTGACTTTATGTATGTTGGTCCATCAGTTTCCAATGCTTTCCTCAGTCTCCCTATCTCCTTCACATTGTTATCACAGCTTTCTTCGAGTTGTAGTTGCACCATACCTCATGTCTTCCCCACCTTGAAACTTGCTCTAGTAACAATTTGTGAGGCATCTCCCCACAACTTAGTAATTTACTTCACAAAATTGCCAGAAGGGCAAATTGCAGTACTTAGCCACCCTTTTGAGAGGGTCATTCTCCTTACAAAAGCGCTCTCAATAGCTAAAAACCAGATGAACCCCCAAAAGAAAGCAACTGAAAGATAAAAAGGCAAACACAAGGCTACCTGTACAAAACGGCTACATTAAGACTTAATCAATGTATTTCCCTTATTGCCCCTCCTAGCATATGTTTTGACAATTGGGGGCTTTACATTTCAAGTACTATAGAATATAGGTGAGTATATTCACACGAGAACATCAAAATATACATGAAAACATCTACAAGCTATCTTTAAAAGATTGAATGAGTGTGAGCTACAAGAAGTTTATATTACAGCAGGATATAGCTTTGAATTTCGATCCGACAAACACAAGCAAGACACATGCTTACCTGATATCACAAACATTCCCTCCGGGCTAAAAGATGCCTCCAACATTGAATTGCTTGAAATGGGTTTTACATTGTACGTGGATAACTACATAAACAATGCAAGTAATAGCACATATGAGACAATTTGAGCATACAAGTAATAATGTTAACCACCTAAACATGAGAAAGATTAAATAAAAATAAAATAAAAAATAAAAAAATAAAAAAACTCACTAGTGTTCCTCGAAAAGAATCAAGAACATGAATATGCCCATCAGAAGTTGTCAACAACATGAGTCTCCCATCATTGCTGAACTTTACAACATTTGTGTCAGATACGTCTTCCCCAACAGAAAATATATCAAAAGGACCCTATAACTTAGAAAAATTTCACCATATCAGAAAATCCAGGAAAACACTTACAAAAGAAGAATAGGCCTTAAAGTTAACTATATATACGTGTAAATATCGGTCTTTCCAAACCTTCTCATATTTGCGAGAATCAAACATCCTTATGTAACCTCCATAGGCAATAGCAAAAACTACACCTTGTTCGTCGTAAGCAGTAGTTGGCTTTCCTTGTACACGCAAAAGACCCTAACAAACGGGCATGCTCAAATTAAGTTGATGAATGTTCTATTCCCATTGGAGTGGAGAAGGGAGGGGAGAGATGAGAGCTAACACTGAGCTTCTAATGTCTATTACATTACCTGGCATTTCTCTGCCCTTTGATCCCAAAGCAAAACCGTTTGATCAAGAGAGCCGGATATAAAGCATTCTTTGCGAGCACATAAGCTGAGTGATACAACTCTAGAAAGGGAAACCAAAAAGTTGCTCTTCTTGTTCGTAAATGATTCAATTAGAAGAAGATAAAAAATACAGAGCCATGGTCACAATGAAAACAAACACACAAAGAAATAGAAGAAACAAGTAATAAACCTGTCGTGGTGGCCTTTAAAGTACCGCAGATACTTATTGTCGTTCAAGGAGAGAAGCCGCAGAGATTCTAAGGAAATAAAATTTATAATTAACATAAAATAGTTGAGTGAATTTGCATATGAAAGCAGATATGTTCCAGAATTTAACATTACCATCCCACCCATTTTTTGAAGAATAAATCACTGTTGTAGGATGAGAAGTGAAGCAAACCAGATCAACCCCATACTTTTTGCTGTTAATTGTTTTCAAACATCTGGAACCACAAAAACCCCAAAACAATGAGATGGAGGAAACACGAAGAGTTGTTGAAAACAATCTGAACTGAGGTGATTAAAGAGGCACATACGTTGCACTGCCAACATCATAAAGTCGGATGGATTCATCATCACTTGCAGTCACCAGATAGCTTGAAGTCCTATGAAAGTCCATTGAACTGATTCTACCATTCTGAGAGTAATAATTGGGGGGAGGTGGGGGGAATGACATCAAAATCAAAAACTACAACACTAAGCTACAATATGACCGAAACACCAAAAAAAAAAAAAACAAGACAGAGAGGTGAAGAAATGTCGGAGAACCATTGGCTAATCCATTTTCTAAGTACAGAACGTTCAAACGCTCATCATATATCCGTCAGAAATCTTTATCATAATCGTTCATAAAATTCAATTATAAACTTGAGAATTGAAAGGAGGTACATAGTCTCTGAATGTCATGCCGACTTCCATACTCTGAAGCGTTTCTTCGGTTAGCTCCAGAGACACTTTCTCCTCCCTTTCGGATTGAGCCCCTGAATCAATTATTAATCAAAGTTATCCATGCCATACCTGAAATTTCTTCAAACATGAACAAAAATAACTGCACTAACCTCCCATTGATGAAAATTTAGCCCTCCTCTTCCAAATCTGATGATGATCTCTGAGAAACGAATTCCGATCAGTTTCTTGCCCTAGCAGCAAACGTATTCAACCGCCTAAAATGGTCGCGGGAAAAAAAGATACGAAAAGCTTACCATCTGAGCGGGCTCTTCTATTGGATTGGAACTCAGCTCTAACGGCCCAACTTTCGACCCAGATTGCTGATTGTGGACTACAGCTAATATTCTAATAAAAAAACTTAAATATAAAAATATATTTTAAAAAAAGAATTTAGGTATTTTAAAAATAAATTTTATAATATTCTATAAAGTGTTTTATAATTTTTTTTATGACGGATATTAATAAAGAGTGCGAGTGTTTCATGTGTTTAATATCTCAATACTCGAATTTTGAAGAAATAAGAAATCTCTCAACTCGAGATGGAGACAACAGTGGTTATTCCAAGTCTTCGATAATAATCAACTTAATCGTTTACTGAATAATATCAAAATTGGGCAACACCGTATGATCGATTATATTTCATTCTATAATAATTAAATAAATATTTTGTATGCACTAAAAACTCGTCATTCTATAGTTTAATATCGTAAATTTTATGCCTTATCAACTATGTGACGATTCACCAATTTGTAGCGCTAAAACTTTAAATTTTTCAAATTTCGAACTTAAAACACGATGATGAACATTTTTTATTTTGTAAAGCAAAAAAAAAAAAAAAAAAAAAAAA